TCAAATGGACAGCTAAGGTGGCAACAAAGAAGTTTGGAGAAGATTTAGAGGAAATTTGGGGATAGACATGGATTCAACATCTAATGATTCTTTGATTTCCATTTAGCTTCATGTCAATAATATCTTCTTTGGATTCATAGGAGTTAACAAGTTCATTTTCATTAATGATAAGGCACAATTTGGATTATAGATTACTAGATGGGTGACCCGGGCTTCGCCCCGGGATTGACCCGTGTGCATATCTACCCGAGTGATATATATTTAGATAAGATTTTTTTTATATATAATTGTTTGTTATTAGCATTATCTATTTGTTTGCATCAGCATAATTTAATCTAATCTTTGATAGAGGGCGCTGTTCGTGAGCTAAGTAGAATAATTTGAATATATAGTTTTAATAATTGATTTATATATTTTTTTAAATAGCCTATCGTCTTTCCCGTATTTTTTACCTATGTATGGAAATTTTGGTTTGAATTAGTGAACTACTGCGAATTTGTATACCGGACATACAAACAAACAAACATACAAACATTGATTTTTATATATATATATAAACACAAGGTAATAAGACCAAATAAATAAATAGTGTGTGATGTTTCAGTAACAGCGTTGTTACCATCTTCAGACAAAAGTACTGAATGTACTTTTACTCATTCAGTACTTATGTCTGAAGATGGTAACAACGCTGTTACAGAAACATCACACACTATTTATTTGAATTTGGTCTTATTACCTTGTGTTTATCATCAATCCACATTCATTCTCCTGACTCAATCAGCATTGTAATGAGGTTCACAGTGGTCTAAACACTTCAAGTTTCTGATCGCTATGAACCAGGATCAAATCCCCCATTGAGCCTTGATATCAAGGCTATTATCTATAATTATTTTTAAGTCCTCAGTACTGTAATGGTTAGTATTCCCGCCTGTCACACGGGCGACTGAGGTTCGATTCCCCACCGGGGAGCTTTTTTGGGGTCGGTGGAAGGATGGTCTAAACTGTTGGTTTTCGGCCGCTACGACCCGAGATTGAATCCCGCATTGAGCACTTTTTGCCTATTTAAAACATATCTTGTGGTTGTAAACAATATATAGGTGTATGCGTGTATATGTGTGTATATATGTATATATTTTTTAATTTAATGATGTAACTGTAAATAAAATTCAAAGAATATCTCTATCTGTAAATAATATTTATGAATATTTCTAAGTCGCTTTCTGTGTATCTTTCCATGTTGAATATTTTCTTTGTTATATTTGTATGTACATTTAGCGCAAGTGTCCCTAGGGGGACATAGCGTTTTGAATTGAAATAAATAAATAAATAAATAAATTTTAAAAGAAAAAATTCTCTAATGGGACCCCTTTTTCTTACACAGCAGCGAGTGCAAGAAACCAAATGATGCTCATGGCACACTTGTAAGTACAAAAGTCCAACTGCAAGTTTTTTACAAGCGTAGACATGTGGTGCAGTTACAGTAAGAGCAGTTGCCTACTTTTACCTACCCGGGTTCGATTTCCGCATTGGACACTTTTTATGTTTAAAAAAAAATGCTCCAATGGCCCCCCAATTCTTGCTAAAGTCCAACCCCACCAGCGAGTGCAAGTAACCAAACGGGGCTCTGGCACATTTGTAAGTGCAAAGTCAAACTGCTTTTCACATTGGAAGACATGTGGTGCGCTTACAGTAAAAAAGCAGTCGCTAACTACCCACCGTGATTATCATGGCCTGTACCACATGTACTAGGGATAAGCAAAAAAAAAAAAAAACTACCATGGAAACTGTCAATATTGTATAGAGATGTCCTCTCATGGGGGTTGTTCTACACTACGGCTCTATCATTCCCTGTCTATTTGCTTGCCGAACTCCACAGAATGATTGTCAGGTTTGTGGGAGGTCTATGGATCAGTTCCCATGTTTACTAACCCTAACCTAAACCTAAACAAACCTTGCCACAACTTGTGTAAACACTTTAGATTAGGGCTAGCAAACATGGTACAGAGACATCCCTAACAATTTGTACTTATTTGGCAGAACAGCCACATTTATCGCGCACTTCCGTAATTGGCTGATGGAAGCGTTTTGTTAACTTTATACTGATGGATTTTATTGTATTTATTTTAATTAATCCAATTTGAAGGTATACACTCATGGACAAAACTGATGTTGCGGGTCGTCTATTTTTTTTAAGGAGACAGAAGCAATTTTGTTCACACTTGGTTATCTTGTATGTCTTCAATAAAGGTCACTGTAATATCTTTCAGAGTTATTGTCTGAATCCCGATATACATGCTAAAAGGTACAACTTCCTTAAGTTTTGTCCATGAGTGTATCTTTCAGAGTTATTGTTTGAATCCCGATATACATGCTAAAAGGTACAAGTTCCTTAAGTTTTGTCCATGAGTGTATATGTACTTAGAAGAAAATGTTCAGAAACTAAGGATGAATAAAAAAATAAAGACAAAGTTTACAATCGTCTTTAAATATCTTGGGAAAATTCAAAGAAAAATGTGTATCTTATCAAGTAAAATATTATGAGAACTTAAGATGGATCAGAAATTGGTGTTGCAATAAGTACCTGCTTTGATATTATATAATTACTAAATAATAATTAATTAAATATTCCAAATCCCTTAATATCTTAAATTAGATGTATTTAATTAAATTTTTTTATAGATTTTATAGATTTTTGAAAAGGAATTTGTTTATATATTAAAATGAATGGTTATAGAATATACAATTCAAAAGATTATTTTTCATGCATAAAATACTCTATTCTTATATTGTATTTGTAAATAAATTTTGTAAAAACACATGAGAGATATAAACTAATAAAAATTTGTTTTTAAATGTATGACATTTGTTATTTTTTTAATATTAATTGTATATAGCAGAAAAAACTCGAGAATTTTTATATAATTAAATGAATACAAATGTATACCTTGTATTAAATATGAAGTCTTTAAAAGATCAAGGGATGTCTAGCTCAAAATGTAGACATTTAAAAATTCATTGTTTTGATATTTTGGTTTTTGTTATTTTGGTTTGTATATTGGAAGATTAAATACGTAGCTTTTATCGCTCGATTTAGGTGTTTGTATAAATAATATTAAAATATAATTTTAAATCTTTTAAATAATATTTTGCGATGTAATATATATTTTGAGTATCTAATATATCAATCAAAACAAAAGATCATATACAACTCATCTTACAATAATCCGACATGATGGATAATGGCAACTATGTAATTATACCTACTTTAGTGACCTCAGAAAAAAAATAGTTGTTTATTGACTAATTATAAATAAAAAATTTTTTGATAAACCAGCTTTGTTAAATAAAAAAATATATAGATTCTACAAAGTTGTCAAATTGCATTCCTCAATATCAACACAGTAATATTATTTTTTACTTTCTATTTTGGTACATTGAATCATACATTATAAAAATATATATTTGTATTGTTCCTATTAGAAATAATAAATCTTATTAATATGTTTAGTATATAAAAACATAAATGTATAAAGGAATTATAATTTAAATTAAATTCTCACTCTCATTTAACTTTTATAAACTATTTTATTGTGCTATTACGCCCTCCATCTCAAAAATCAACTTATTTTATTTCAAAAATTATTAATAAAGTAGAAAATTTAGAATTAAATTGAATGCTTTTAATATAAAGAAATTTTTGAAATTATATTAAAATCATATTTATCTCCGTTTTTAATTTCATTCATATTAACATTTGTTGGTATTCTTATACAAACGTGTTTGTACCCCGCGTGCATATATTTGGTTATTAATAAAATAGATCAAATAATTTAAAATGAAATACCGTCAGGTAATTTCGTGCAAAACTAAATTCCATCTTGATATTAAATGTAAAACTTCACACATACACATCTTCCTGTAACAAAATCTCTCAAATATATATTAGCTTTTTTTTTTTGATGTTCTTACGTGTAATTTTTTGCATTTAAAAAAATATACCCCTACAGAATTGTAAATCTTTAGAGAGTATTTTTTATCAATAAAACTATATGTTTTGTGTGGGGTGTTCATATCATATTCTGGAGACAAAAATAAAGTGAATAGAATTTGAAAAATTATACAAAAGAAGCCAGAGATAAAAGTACTAATTATTATAGGTTTGTATGTTAATCTATACATGTGGATAATGGTTTTGAGAACAACGCATGCATGTACAACTTTAGATGGGATTCAAATAAAGTTCTTAATTCTCCATGAAGCCATCTTCCCCAGAAAGTCATTAATACCCTTGACTGTCAAACTTGAGTCAGTAAAGTGAAGTCGTCTGCATAGGCAATCAGTAAACTCTCTTTTATATATATATATATATAAGGAGGGCATAATAAAGAAGAATCGAACAATAACATTCAGCATAAATGGACTTGGGAGCGCCAAGCGTAAAGGCCTAGAAGAATGGCATTATTCTATATTTGCACAATACAGACCACAAAACCTGAGAAAACCAGGCGTTTGAAACGTTGGATGATAGCCGGTCTCCTTAATAGTCTCAAAAGCCTTGCTGATGAACAAAGTTTTTCTTCAGTGAATTTGTCTTTCATTGAGAAACTTAGTAAATTAGATGAAGACACCTTTCAATAATTTTCCGAGAATAATTTGAAATTGATTGGCAGAAATCCTTTTGTAGCTATTCCCAGCTATTTCTCACTCTGGCCAGGATACACCTATCAGGAGTGTGATACTGCACTGTGTGAGTTCAGGCAGAATTGACTACCTTGAACAGAAATACCAGACCGCCATTCTTCCTTGTGTCCGAAAAATGATCCAAATGAAACATTTGCTGAATATTCTGGCTAGCGGTAGAATTTAGAGATGGGCTACCATGAACTACGCAGAGGAAGCTGATGCTGTCTAGTCTTAGAAATATTCTTTGACAATAATTCTATATGATTATTGTCGCCTCCTATTCTCTGAAATTCATATGAATACATTGTAAATTTACATATTGAAGTATAAGGACTGATTTTCAATAGAAAAAGTTATCCAATATGGACAAGCAAGTCCCTTCAAGAGAGAAATGAGCCATCATTTAGTATAAGAAGTTCACAGGAGGACCCAAAAATGGAGGTTATTGTAGTGGGCGAAATCTTCAAGACTTGCACCACTGGTACTCGGCCTTATATCAATGTTTCATATAGGAGCATGGGTATTAGCATCCATATTATCATAGGAAGTGAAAAAAGGGTGGGTGGATGAGTTCTTTCACTATATAAAGAGTCCTTCTTTAACTGTGCCATACACACAGAAGGCTGAGCAAACTGTAATTACTTGTTGCCAAAGGCATTTGGCAATGAAAATAATGGCGGTATCCCTAGAGGGAGCACAAGAACAGACCCAGATTCCAAGAAAGTCTGGCAGTGGTCAAAATATTTTGGAGGTCAGGCTGGTTTGGAGGAGGGCGGTGGCCAGAGTTCAGGAGGGAATCATTGTTTCATCGCCCAAAGGCGGGTGGAAGGGTAGGAGTAGGATGGAGTCGTGTGTTTGAAAGAGAAGCCCTTTGGATGGCAGTGGGCGCACCTCATAGTACGAGGGTCGGTGAGTGAGGAGTAGTTAGGGCCTTCGTAGTCGCTAGAGGGGCAGTGGAAGCACTTGACGGCATGGCTGATGCACCTAGAGGCGCAGTGTCCGAAGGCGGAGCATCGAAAGCAGACTCGGACGTGGAGGTAGGCCTCGAAGTGGTGGGTGCCATGGTCCACTCCAAGCAGATCAGAGGGGGGGGGGGGGGGGGGCAGGGGGCGGATTATGTCCTGATCCAATTCCAGGAAGGCGGTGAAGAACCCGTTGCGGGAGGAGGACAGTCCTGAGGGCAGGGAGGGCGGCAATGGCGTGAATGGAGAGGATGGCGTCCACGAGAGTGAAGTCAGGGGTGCCATCAGCCACCCTGAAGATGCATATTAATGGCAGCAGGGTGC